ATAATTAGTAGATTTATTTTTATTTTATATTAAAATGCATATTTATTTATTTTTTTATTTCGCTTCGACTTACATAATTCACAAGAAAAAAATAGAAAAAAGACAAAAGAAGTAGTTTCCTATAGCTTCGAAGTCAGTTTTGATTTCTTCAAATTGGTCCATTTAAAAACAAAAAAAAGAACAATTGTCGGTTTTATAACTTTCGTATAAATTCTTTCATTGTTTCAGTATATAAAGTCCAAGAGTGATTACGTTATATATAAATATATACGTATACTTATATAAAATATCTTTTTATGTCGAACGACCACTATTTTTAATTCCACTATATGCTGTTATATATATATTTATATATGTATATATATATATACTGTACTTTAACTTTATGTATTATAGGATCGACTAAACGAAAGATATTTATTTTTGAATATAGAATAAATAACGTATGTAATTATAGTTATGGTATATATTTATCAATATTTATATTATGGTACACGTAAATTTAAATATCAAGGTTTTATTACTTCTCGTTAAATTTGTCGATAAATTCGTTACAATGTAATAATGAAAAGTAATCTACCTTTGTCTTGTGTATAATACAAATTGGTTTTGATATTATTACAAAATTTGAATACAATCGTGTTGAAAATAAAATAAACATAATAATTTATATATAATAACGAATTAATCTCTACAATAAGAATTATAATTTAGGTTCGTTTTTTTTTTTTGTAGAAATGATTAACGACGATTTAATATTATTTCAAATTACTTTGTAATGTATCCAAACAAAAAAAATGTTAATACTATAAATAGAATATATAAGAAGCGTTTATAAATATAATTTGTCTGAATAAATAGCTGATGCGGTTCTCATTGGAAAACCACAAGTGTCAATTACAATATTACTTATATATGGTACGTAATATATTTAAAATAATACTTTTTCCTTATATACCTCAAAATTACTAGCCTAAGCACGAAATAATCGATACTTAATAAGTACAATCCTTGAATTGATATGACTAGTTTTCTTGTTTTAATTATAAATACATACATATAATATATCGATGACTAATATTAAAATCTATACACGGGTATTCACATAATTCATTCGTAATACAAGGAAAAACGAAACTAGTTTATCCATATATTTCCATAAACGGAAAATCCTATTTTCAAACATGTATATGCGAGCTAAAAATACACATTCTAAAAGTCCGATCACCGATTAATACTAATTTTCCAAATAAAATAACAAAATCATTATTTTGTTTTTTAACATCTTTTAACCATAGCTTTAAGATCTTTCCTTGATATCTTTCCTGACGGTGTATGCGGCATTTTGCCTAAAAATTTGACACCTCCTCGTAAATGATAGCAATCGGTCATATTTTTCGCTACAAAATCTTGTAAATCTCGTTCGGATATCTGTATAATATTAATTATAATTTGATAAGAGTGATTTAGTTTATTTTTCTTTTTTTTTTTTTTTTTTTTTTTTTTGTTTTGAT